AGTCAGAAGGAGAAAAACAAATATCGTATATTAACGCATATATGTTGAACCTAGAAAAATGGTACAGATGAACTGGTTTGCAGGGCAGAAGTTGAGACACAGATGTAGAGAACAAACATATGGACACCAAGGGGGGAAAGCCGTGGTGGGGTGGGGTTGGTGGTGTGATGAATTGGGCGATTGGGATTGACATGTATACACTGATGTGTATAAAATTGATGACTAACAAGAACGTGCTGTATAAAAAAATTAAATTAAATTAAAAAAAAGAATTGATTAAAGCCCAGGTGATTACATCATAAACTACAAGCAAAACACTCTGTGCTCCTATTATTCTGCTAACCCAGTCCCACCTGAGTAAGAAATCAGAGCTCCCACTGTAGTCTGGATCCTCTCCACTGATCTGGTCTGCTTGCTTTTCCTACTTCTCTTCTGCACTTTGGCCATTCGTGTAGGAATTAGAATTGCCTTCCTCCAACACAGAGACCTCAACTTCTCTGTCTGCAACTCACCAGAGTTGAGATTCTGCAGAAAGAGTTTCCACTACTGGACATAAGTTTTCGTCCCATTCAATAACTGCAAAATAATAACTGCTTTAAGGATACTGCCTCATTAAAATAGTAAGAGGTGGTCTTGTTCATTTTTTAAAATTTTAAAATGTTCGGGGTATTAACAGATACATTCAATGCTTGTTTTGTGGGTTTATTTTTTTAGCCCTTTACCATGCCATTTATGAGGAAAATGTCTTGCATATATTATTCAAGAAAGAAAAAGGAGACAAGTTTTCTGAAATATTTTTTCCTCCTAATTATATTCCTATTTTCCTTCAATCTCTAGTGATTTTTAGGCTCAATTAGGAGTGAAACTCACTTAAATTTGTTATATGAAACTTCAAACACACATGCACATTAAGATGCAGAAGATGGCTGTTACCTTCAAATACAGACATTTGGGGATGGAGTGGGAGCGGGGAGAGGAATCGGAACAGGAGAGGCTGGAGGACAACTTGAATCATCTCCTGAACTCTGAGTTCCATCTTGGTTTTCTTTCCCCCAGGCTGCTCAGTTTCATTCTTCTTTACTGGGATCTCCTCTTCTACCTGCCCTCTAGCTGTTCTACCTGGCCTGGGCTTGGTTCTTGGGCCTCTACTTTCTTGCTGTACTTTCCCCAAAGGCATTTCATTTCGTTGCAGGGTTTTAAATTCTTCCTGTACGTTGGTGACTCTCAAGCTCAGATCTCCACCCCTGATTTCCCTCTTAGCTCCAAACTCATATGTGAAACTGTCTACTTGGTAACCATTTAAATGTGTAACTCCATCCTCACCTGTTTCTTCCCAGCCTTCCTCATTTAGGTAAATTATGCATTTAAATGCTCAGGTATAAACTAATGCATCGTTCCCTTTATCTCTTCCCAAAGCTCTCCTTCCTAATTCAATCCACCAGCAAATCTTTTTGCTTTTAGACATGTAATATATCCCAATCTGCTTTCTCCTCTCTGTTCCCACTCCATTACCCTAATATAAACCATTGTTATCTCCTGCCTGGACACTGTAATAACCTCCTATAGCAGACTATTGCTTGTTTACCCAGAATCTCTGAATCTCTAGGAGAGCCCTAATGTTTTTTACGTAGCCACCTTCTTCCTCCTGGCCAGGAGCTTCAAGGGAGTCTGGCTCCATCCCCAGATCCCAGAGGTAGGACCTAATTAATCCCCGGCAATAGTGGTAATACCATTCTCCTTACCAGTAACTGCTTTAGGAAGGAGCACCTGATCAAATTATGGCCAATGAGATATGAAGGAAAGTTTATGGAGGGTTCCTGAGTAAGGTTCCTCACTCTTGCAAAAGGATACAAGGAAAATAGAGCCTCCTTCTACCTCTGGACATTGTCGTGTCTCATCTGATGCCTGGAACTGTCACAGCCAAATTGCAACCAGCCAGAGAGGATGGAACACACACACCGACAGAAGGGCATAGCCTCTAGAGATCTAGTAAAGTGGAACCAGAGTCTTGATGGCATACCTCTGCAGCCTTCTTGTTACAGGAGGGAGTTCATTTCCACATTATTTAAGCCACTCTGAGGCAGTGTTTTCTTAATCTCAAAGGCTTCTGTGTCAGTCTGAGTTCCTAGTTGCCAAAAACACAGCTCACTAGAGGGTTTAAACAAAATGTGTGAAAGAATGTCCTGGAGTGAAGCAGGTTTGGAATCTGGGAACACTATCCAGGTTACATCAGCAGATAGCTCCAACGGACACCTTACCACTCCCGCCACCACTGGGGGCCGGCAGAGCAGTCCACAGTGATAGAGGCTGGGCGTGAGATTTACCACGAGCAACTTACTTCTGCCTCCTCTGGGAGCTGAATCTCCCTCCACCACCTTTCCCATAATCAGTTCTTCTTCATGTCATCAGTTACTGAACTGAAGTCTCAGTCAGATGGGCCAGATTGGCAAATCTCAGGCCACTTGCATTTACCCTAAGTGTAAGGGAAGCAAATAAAGAGAGTTTCTGGCTTCCACCTTGGGGTGGAGGGCTCAAAAGGGGGGCGCATTAGTTATCTACTGCAATGTAACAGTAGCCCAACAGATTAGCCCGAAACTTAGCAACTTAAAACAACAGGCATTTGTTATTTCAGTTTCTGAGCTCAGGACCCTGAGGGCAACTTAGCTGGGTGGTTGTAGTTTAAGGTCTTTCATGAGATTGCAGTCAGTTGTTGGCCAGGGCTGCATCATTTGAAGGCTTGACTGGGGCTGCTTTCAAGAAGGTTTACTGGTTGGCTATTGGCTGGAAGCCTCAGTTCCTTGCCATGTGGGCCTCTCCACAGGGATACCTGGGTATTCTCAAGACATGGCAGCTGGCTACCCCAGAGTGAATGACCCAAGAGAGTCAGAGGCCAAGACATAAGCCACATTCTTTTACAACCTAATCTTAGAAGTGACTTCTGTCATATTCTGTTACTTACACAAACTAAACCTTGGTACAATGTGGGAGGGGATGACACAAGCGTGTGAAAACCAGGATTTGGGGATCATTGGAGGACATCTCAGAGGCTGGTTACCACAGTGGGAAACTCTCAAAACAAAGATTGTATAAAAGAATCTGGAGGGACAGAAAACATGAAAAATATGTTTTAGAGCAGTGCTTTCCAATCTTGTTCACATCGTGTCACATGGAAAATGATGCTGTTTATTCAGGTTAATGGATGGGTCTATTTGTAGGCAGAACAACCCTGTGGCTTTGGCCAGCCCTGTCCTCTCCTGGTTATAATGAGGACTGAAGGGATCAATATCTTTTACACCTATGACCTGGTTATGTGCAAAAACATCCTAACTGATACACTTCCTAAGCGGTCTTCCTTCTTCAGATCTTGCCTCCTACAATCCTTTCTCCTGAGACTAGTTACAGTGATCTTCTAATTCATGAGTTAAATCAAATTGATTCACTGTTTAAACCTCAAATGGCTTCCAGTTGCCCTGGAAATTAAACCCAACTGCTCTGTGTGATCTATAGTGTGTAACTGAGCTTCCCTCTACCTTGCTGACACCATCTCGAATTAGTCTCCCCCTTGCTCAGTTTGCCTCTGTCACATTGTTCTCTTTCTGTCCCCCAAAACAATCAGTTTGTTCTCAACTCAGTGACGTTTCACTTGCTCTTTCCTCTACCTTAGACATACCTCCTCAGCTGGCCCCTTCCTTTTCTTCACATTTTAGTCTAATCAACATCTTCTTAGAGAAGCCTTCCATATTGACCCTATTTAAATGTTCTATTTCACATTAATCTATTTCCTTCATATCCCTATCACTATCAGAAACATTCATTCTTTCAAACCACAAATACTTATTGAACATCTAGTATGTGCCAGATACTGTTTTGGGCGCCCAGTATCTGTTTGCTTGTTTTTTGCTTATTCACATCCCCCATTCCCCATGGGGGTAGTAACCTTGTCTGTCATTGCTGAGAATCCAGCATCCAAGACAGTGCATGACACTTGGAAGTGTCCAGTGAATATTTGTTGAATGAAAAAAGGTAGATAACAAAGAGCAATGCTCAGGTCCAGATGGGCCAGGTTACTCATGACAGCATAGGTCAGCAGCTTGGCAAACACATAAGAACCAGTGTCATATGAATCATGTGAATCAGGAGCTCAGAACGCAAGTGAGCAGTCTGGATCTGGATACACACAGGACAGGGAGTAAGACTGTGAAAACCAGAAGCAAGATCGGAGGAACTCATTCATGGAAACAAAGGTAAGCTTCCCTCTGTCGTCATCTCATGAACTGTCAGTCTTATCAGTGCAGACCTCAACCAGCAAAGTGCAATGACAGCTGTTGAATAGTGTCCCCCCACAATTCATGTCTACCTGGAGCCTCAAAAATGTGACCTTATTTGGAAACAAGGTCTTTGCAGATGTAATTAGTTGAGAGCTAGAAAGGAAGCCATACCAGATTTAGGGTGGGCTCCTTCTAAGAAGAGGTGAGAACACAGAGACAGATATGGAGAAGACAGAGGCAGAGACTGGAGGGTTGCACCTATAAGCCAGGGAATACCAGGGAATTGCCAGGAGCTACCAGAAGCTGGGAAAAGGCAGGAAGGATCCTTCCCTAGCACTTCCAGAAAGAGTGTGACCCTGCTGACAACTTGATTTTGGACTTCCAGCCTCCAGAATTGTGAGAGAATAAATTTCTGTTGTTTTAAGCTACCAAGGTTGTGGCAATTTGTCACAGCAGCCCAAGGAAAATAGTACAACCGCTGTTATTTTTTTTTCTGAGCATGAACTAAGTGTTCAGTAATTCAGCCCGGCAAGTTTGTAGCCAGCTATTTGCCCAGCATTTGGCACAGAGTGGTTTATTTTTCAATATTCTTATTGAAATCAATGTTCAATGATTGGGTGACTTGGTATAAGTTCAAAAAACCCTTAGGAGAAACATATCAAAACCTTTCGATGATTCTGTCTCTGAATATGAAGAGTCAAAAGCACCTGAGGAACCTGACCTTTTCCTGCTGGCTGAAATGAAAATGCATTACCTTTGTCTGTAAAATTATACAAGAGCTGAGGTTAAAATAGATAAGAAAACAGAAGGGCTTGGAAACATGTCTGTAATTTTTATGACAAGGTTGAAATATTTTACCTTGAGTTTGTAACCAGCATTTAGTTCTTTACTACCTGTGCTGCTTCCTTGTGTGATGAATGGAGCCCTGGGCCAAGCACAAACTCACCCAGACTATTTCAGATCACTTTAGGCCGATGAATTGCACACCTCCTGGATAATGATGACGGTGTCAATCGCTGTGAGCTCTGGAAATGTATAAGATCAGGTTCCTACCTTGTGGGATCTCACAGTCCTGGATTAGGGACAGACAGGTGGTACCTGGTTAAAACACAGGGCCATGTTAAAGTTTTTCATAGAATTACAAAACAGTGCAAAAGGATGGAGAGAGAATTCTATCAAGAAGCATTTGTCTATTATCTGGTTATGTGGCCACAAGAAAGTGACCCTGTGAATATCAGCGACCCACTGCCAAAATAAACATGTCTGACAAGACAAGGTCCTTTTGGGCACTGACAGTATAACGTTGATTTTGGATTAGTCTGCTTCCTGTGTGTTCGTCTCATCTTCCCTACTAGACTATGATGGGGTAGGACTTGTGTCTCAATCATCTCTCTCTCCCAGTGCCCAGGGCATTGCCTAGGCCACCGTAGGCATCAGTTAAATGCATGTTGACTGGTTGATGACTGAAATTCATCTTTCTCTCCTATTCTCATATCTCAGAATCAGGTAGAATTCCTTGCCTCAAATTGACAAGACTTCAAACAACTGAATTTAAAGATAAATATTAAATACCTGCCGGGAACTATTCCTGGCCTAGCACTGTACCCTCACAAATCCTGCCAAAGGGATTGAGAAGGGCTGTGTCTCAGTTTTACTTTGACAGTAATCTATCAAAAATCTCCCTTTTCTGAACTGACAGAAGCCCCTCACCCCTCCATGGCTCTCTCTGACTCATCACCTTGGACCATGACCACCATGTGCATGTATGTGTGAACATGTCTTGAAGATGTGAGTATTTATAGGAGAGCGGAGTGTGTGTGCACACACAAATACACAATGTAAGAGAGTAAATGTGAAATGTAGTAGCATGTGCACACAAGTGTGGGCTTATGTGTGTTGATTAGTCCAGTGAAGGGAAGGGAGTTCTTTATGTCCTGCAGAATTCCCAGCCCAACCTCAAACCAGAGGTCTTCCTCCAAGTTAGCAGTTTATCCCAGAGAACAAGCCCAGGGTGGGGCTGGGGAAGGTCTCATGCCTCTCGCTTATCAGCACTTGGGCCTCCATCCCTATTCTTGAGGGGAGGATTCCGTTCACTGTGAAGCTTGAAATAAAAATGATCATGGAAAAGCTACCAGTCTCAGGGTTTTGTCTGTTTGTTTGTTTGTTTTTAGAGTATTAAAAAAATAGCAAGCAAGCAAGCTTGGTTTTCTCTGTCGAATAGATGATGTTCTGTTAGAAGAACTGTTGTCTGGAAAGTTTTTTTCCACAGACAGTTATTTTCAGTTTATGACCTGCTCTGCTCCCAGAGGGGCAAGAGAATAAATCATTTGTTTTCCAAAAGAAAAGACAGAACCATAAAATAGAAAACAAAGGACCAATAAGCTGATTTTTTCCCCCAGCTTAAGCCATACTTGTCTAAGTGAATATGTGTGAATTAAGGCCCAACAGGGCTAAGGTGGAAGCAGGTCCAAGTCCAGGCCTCCAGAGACCACCACCTCATGAGTATTAATATTAATCTGGGATTTTCAGGGAATGTAAAACAGCTTTATGTCACACCACTAACACTGTTTCTGGGTCAGGCTGACTCCTGAGGCAAAGGAACTTCTCTGTACTGGGGAAGTTTAAGGTTTCTTTTCTTGTCCACCAATACCCCTACTCTTTCCCAGCATTTGCTATTCTATGACAAAACTAATGGTTAACATAGAGCAAACCCATCTGTGGAGCTGTTGCTGTTCTAAGCACTTTATAAGGAATAACTCATTGAATCCTCAAAATAATGCTATCAGGTAAGTACTATTATTATCTCCATCTTAAAAGTAAGGAGGCTGAAGCCTGGAGAATTTAAGTCACTTGCCCAAGTTGACACAGCCAGTAAGTAGGAGAGCTGACATTCGAACCCAGGCAGTCTAGAACCTAGAGCTTGCCTTACAAACTGCAAAACCACATCATCTGACTGACCAGGCCCCTGTTGCAGGCAGGTTCTAGAAATAGACTTGTAATGTGAATATTATATAAAATCACAGTTTAAAAATAGCATTGAATATTGCAATTATGTATTTGAAGATTGATTAATTTTTAGGATTATAACATGACAAATATAAGAATGGAAAACCTTGAGAGTACCTTGTAACAGCCTATGGCTATAATAAAAAATGTACTGATCAGAGAAAGGAGGCTTCAGTGCTTTCTGTCTCTACTTCTTTATACTATCAACTTGGTATCTCTGGATACATTGTTCCACCATCTGTCTACAAATGCCCTCAGTTATGTTGAATCCTGGGAATTGAATTCCCTAAAAGCACGCAGAAAAAGACTTACTAATGAGGAGACTGTTGTGTGGGGTTGGAGTGGGGAGAGGTACAAGGACAGTGGCTCTTCTGCAGCCATTGGTAGGTGAAAGTCCTGGACACACTAGGCATTCTCCTTACTTAAGTCCTGCTCTATGCTCTGGTTAGTGGCTTTACTTGGGATCTACTGGATTTTTGACCAATATTCCTATGTAACCTTACTTTTTCATGAGGTGTCATTGGAAGAGGAGGAAAGACAAGTCAGGGTTGTCTCACTAGGCTCCACCTAAGCCTTTGTCTCTTCTAAAACAGATTTACATTTACATCTTAAGAATCCAGTGGAATCATGGAAATGGATGGTTTGGTATATTATCCTGTGGCATGTTGCTCGATATGATGGTTCATCCTTGAACATATCATTGTATTTCCTATACTCTGACTTGATTAAACATTTGATTCCATGCAGAATCCCAAATCAGTCTTTGCCCAAATTTATCAACTATCTGTGACACACACTTGATTATTTTTCCAACTGAATTAATTATCTGTTTTTGCATAACAAATTACTCCAAAACTCAGCAACTTAAAACAACATACATTTACCCTCTCACAGTCTCTGTGGGTCAGGAATCCAGGTGTTATTTAGCTGGGTTCTGGCTCAAGATTTCTCAAGGCATAAATCAGGGCTTTGTTCTCATCTGAAGGTTTGACTGGGGGAGAATTCCCTGCCAAGCTCACTCATGTGGTTGTTTGCATACTTCAGTTCCTTGAAGGCTGTTGAACTGAGAGCCCTAGTTTCTTGTTGGCTATAAGCTGGAGACCACCCTCAATTCCTTGCCATGTGGGTCTCTCCATTGGGCAACTCACAACATGACAGCTTGCTTTCCTCAGGGTGAGTAAGACAGAATGGCTAAAATGAAATCCACAGTTCTTTTGTAACCTAATCTTGGATGTGACATTCCATCACCTCTGCTGCATTTAACTTGCTAGAAGTGAATCACTAAATCTAGCCCACCATCAAGGGGAGGGATTTACACAAAGGCATGACCATCAGGAGGTGGGGGTCACTGGGGCCCTCCTAGAGTCTGTTCACCATACATATTAGGACAGGGTCATTCCAACCATGAGAATTATTTATAGTCAAGCACTTGTAAGCTAGTGCTCCCCAAATTCTCCATCTTTTGAGTCCTATCCTTTTCATAGTATCAAAATAAGATGGTTCAAGCAGCCATCCCAATATTGTATGTCTACCTCTGCCACTGGTATAACCCATTAGATTTCCATGGAAGGCTTATGTTTGGATGAGTCCATCTTGACTCCTACTTCCTCATCATAGCCTGCTCCTGATAGGTTTTCTTCACTTTGGGGTCTGCGATGGACTCAACCCACAAAGTACCATGAACACTAGGTTATTTTATATAACAGATTTCTACTTAAGTTTTAGAGCTAATAGAAGGCAATTATAGTCAATAAAGAAAACACCCTCTGGACCTTCAAGATGGCGGAGAAGTAAGATGGGGAGATCACCTTCCTCCCCACAAATACATCAGAAATACATCTACATGTGGAACAACTCCTACAGAACACCTACTGAATCCTGGCCAAAGACCTCAGACTTCCCAAAAGGCAAGAAAATCCCCACGTACGTGGGTAGGCAAAAGAAAAAAGAAAAAACAGAGACAAAAGAATAGGGATGGGACCTGAACCTCTGGGAGGGAGCTGTGAAGGAGGAAAAGTTTCCACACACTAGGAAGACCCTTCATTTGTGGAGACGGGGGTGGGCGGGGGTGGAAGCTTTGGAGCCACAGAGGAGAATGCAGCAACAGGGGTGCAGAGGGCACAGCGGAGAGATTCCTGCACAGAGGATCGGTGCCAACCAGCACTCACCAGCCCGAGAGGCTTGTCTGCTCACCCGCCAGGGTGGGCGGGGCTGGGAGCTGAGGCTCGGGCTTTGGAGGTCAGATCCCAGGGAGAGGACTGGGGTGGGCTGTGTGAACACAGCCTGAAGAGAGCTAGTGCGCCATAGCTAGCCAGGAGGGAGTCCGGGAAAAAGTCTGGAACTGCCTAAGAGGCAAGAGACCATTGTTTCAGAGTGCATGAGGAGAGGGAATTCCTTCCCTGTCTGCCCACAGAACGCAGAGCACCACCTAAACGAGCTTCTAGCGATGGGTCCAGAGACGGGCATGAAACGCTAACACTGATGCTGCAGCTACCAAGAATCCTGTGTGCAAGCACAGGTCACTATCCACACCCATCCCGAGAGCCTGTGCAGCCCACCACTGCCAGGGTCCTGTGATCCAGGGACAAGTTCCCCAGGAGAACACACCGTACGCCTCAGGCTGTTGCCATGTCATGCTGGCCTCTGCCACTGCAGGCTCGCCCTGCGTTCCAGTTATAACTGCCGTACCTCTCCCTGCCCCTGGCATGAGTGAGCCAGAGCCCCCTAAGCAGCCGCTGCTTTAACTCTGTCCTGTCTGGGTGGGAACAGATGCCTGAGGACAACCTACACACAAGAGGTGGGGCCAAAACCAAAGATGAACCCTGGGAGCTGTGTGAACAAAGAAGAGAGGGAAATTTCTCTATGCAGCCTCAGGAGCAGTGGATTAAATCCCCACAATCAACTTGATGTACCCTGCATCTGTGAAATACCTGAATAGAAAATGAATCATCCCAAAATTGAGGTGGTGGACTTTGGGAACAACTGTAGACTTGGGGTTTGCTGTATGTGACTGATTTGTTTCTGATTTTTATGTTTATCTTAGTATAGTTTTTAGTGCTTGTTATC